AACATCAAAGTTTTAAATCTCCTAAGGACTAAGAGAATTAATGATTTCGTCGGGATGACTCAAGTGACCTCATCAATCACTGGTATCTCACCACCGTATACCGATAGTGCAAGCAGGAATGGCATTCCGTTTTCATCACATAAAAAAATCCGACACCTATAAATGTCTAAGGGTTAATTTCCTAATAAATAAAAGGATACGAATAGACATGGATGTGATACGACAGCCGATCGTGTCCGGCAGGATGTCGACGCATACGATCGGCTCCGTACCATGGCTTGCGATCATATCCGTTTCTGCGCCTAGTCAAACAGTTTCATTCCTACCATGTTGACATGTTTTAATCTTTGAAAACGTTTGAAGTTCACGTATGTAGTATTTGTAGGCTATTGCATTAATAGAATAAGAAAATAATCATAAATCGCAGAAGAAAAAAGAAAAATGAATGGTGCCAACCGGCCACAGATTTGATTGCACGCGACGACGGCCGAAAATATCCAATCGGATTCGGCGCAGATCGAGTGTCGCTGCATACTTTCGGCATAATATAGAGTTTAAATATGGCGTACACGATTCAATATCGTTTAAAGATAAGTTTATCCGTTCCGTTCCAATTCGATGCGAGCGGTTTGGTGCAAATCATCCTTTTACGTTGTCAACACTGAGGATGATAGAATTGAGAAATATATCACGCAAACACAGCAGCTTGGCGGTAGAATTACCAATGAAGCAGAGGACAGTGGTATCCATACAGGCGAGCTTCGTACAGTCTTCCTCTGGCCTGTTCAACGTTCAAGTTAGAATGAGAGGCTCAAAATATTTTGCAGTCTATCAGTTATATATAAATATAATCTAAGGATAAAAACTATTGTTTTAATGTTAGATCACTTTCATATAAGGATGCTAATGATTTCGATTTCAGGTTTATTGCAGTCATAGCGGTTTAATCTAAATACAGTTATAAGTATATTAGTGAATCTCAATCTCTCCACCAATATTTATTTTAGTTAATATTCTGAAAAAAAATACTTATAGAGTAACTAAAACCAGCTCGCAATTTTTAGTTTATTAATATACATATATAGATAAATAGATTTATAATTTACGCTAACAAACTCGGATTTAATATTACTTAATCATTAAAAATAAATAAAATCAAATTTTTTTCTTGCTCATTTATAATTTTACTTTGTAAGAGCAAGGATTCTCATAATTAACTGCTTGCTCCCTTTATTCTTACTTACATTACTGCGCAATTATAATTCAGTTGAGTGGAATGTAATAAAATTATATATAGTCTGTTTTAATGGAACTTAATGAAAAGGTAACCAAGTTTTGCTGAAATTATTAAAGAAACTCTTTAAATAGTGAAATTAATAATAAATCGAAACATTCAATCAATTGATTTAATGCAAATATATTACCTAAATCTAAATAATCATGTTAATTCATAAACCATTCATCATTTGGTTACCTTAGTCCTACTTATGTTTCTGACGTTAACCAGCTGTGTTTGCATTGCTGTGTTTTGGGTAAAAGGGTAAGGGATATGACAGAGAAATTATAGCTTACAATAACTTAATACCTTGGTTCTCAGATAATATGGGCGTCACAGTATACTCTGTGATATGTATACTGTAGTACTGTTAGTACTGTTCATAAATACACAGGCGACAGCATATTTGCGCTTTTAAGTTGCATTAAACAAATCACGAAAATTAAAATTTTAATTGACCTCTTCTTTGTACTATTGGACATCTGTATACAATCTTATGCTAGATTCAGTTATTCGTTTATATTGACATATTTGTTAAGTTCTATTGTAATAGGTATACTATGTATAAGAGAATATAACTTTTTATGTTAATATTGCAAAAAATGTTTATCTAAATATAATTTATGAACTAAATAATAAAACGATACCTACTTTTAATTTCAAAAAACATAACGAAAGGATGCTAATTAATATAGAAAATAAATAATTTTTGAAGGAGCGAAGCCAGAGCATAGCGAACAATAAACATTGTACTAATAATTGACTTATAATTTTATAAAAACCAATACGGATTTTGGAAATCTTTACGAAAAAAAAGTACAATAACAACACCCACTGTGATTTCCAGAGATAGAAATGGTATGTAACTAACGTCGTTAATAGTCAATAAATACCTTATATCCATTAGGAATCTCATGTAGTGTGCATATACATAGTTTTTTTTTTTTTTTTTTACTTACCTATTTGGCTTCATCAACAATAGATAAAAAAAATGCCAGCATTTATGTCATTCAATAAAATGTAAACAATCTGTATAGTTAGTCATTCGATATTTTATATTATGTTAATATTAGTTATTATTTACGTACCTACATAGATATTTATTAGCTACATTTAAACACACCTACTTACTAGACGAAAGTAACGTTTTGTATAGATAACCCAAAGCACTCTATTATCTCGATACAATGGAATATAGAAAAGAGATTTATGTTCTGAATACAATAGATAGGTACCTAATACAGTTTAATGGCCCTAGAACACAGATCAATAGTAAAATACTTATCATGAACGAACCGAACTGCTAACTCCGTAAACGGCAATTAATTTCACCAATATTATTGAAATTCCAACTAGGTAGTAGATCTATATTTACTTTAGAAATCGAATCTGCATACCTACATATTATTGAAGGAAATCTACCAATATCAATAGCATCTACTAATAATCTTCCTTCTCTTTCTGTACTGATGAGTTTACTATGTATAATGACGCACTTAATGATTATATGCCTGCATATAAGGTTACTTACCTACATTTAAGGAAGGTGATTATTAATATCGGGAACTTACAACTCCATTGCTAGCAATATCTAAGCTACTCTGGAAACCACCGTCAATACCTGATAAATTCATCATGATAGGGTAACTGACCTAACTTCATCTTCACCTATATTTGCTAATTGATACCCTGTTTGCGTAAAACAATATTAGAGACAAGGTGGCAATCTATATTTATCTATTAAAACTTACTTTTATAGGTATATGTCGTACCAGCAAAAATGTTGGTTATTTTTCATTGAAAAAACTTTTCGTTAGGTATTTCAATACTCAGGTAGCATACAATTTTGCCATCACAAAATTAATTTTCGAAAGGGTCTGATGTAATAATGAAGCGAACAAAACGATGACGATGTTGCCGAACCTTCGAAACATAATGAGATACTTAACTGTAGATGTCTACAAATAGATATAAGTATTCTGCTATTTACTTAGGTACGAGTACATAGAGTACAAAAGTTCAAATTGTTCGCTTGTCATTAAAGCCTTTTAATAATACCTATTTTATTTTTATTATCTGTGTCACAGATAAAAGTAAGTCAAATTACTTACTTAAAAAAGATTTACAAATATCATAAACATGAAAGCAGTTCGCTTATTTGTTACCTTACAACCCAGACAATCTGGGCTAATTTTTATCCCGATCAATTAACTGGTCACGGGGACAAAGTCATGAGTATAGACTGGTAATAACCTTCAATTCGAATTAATAATTTCATTTTACACCTATCTTACTAATATAATAAAATTATAACTAGACGAGATACTTGTAAATGGAAAATGTTTTAGAAAAAATAGCAAGACTAATAAAAGCCAAAACGATCATTTTTAGAAATTGTGTCTGTCTGTCTCTTTGTTCCGGTATCACGCTAAAAGCTACTGCACCAATTTGGGTGCGGTTTTCACAGTTGTATTCCTGAACATAAACCTTTGATTTATCTACCCAACTTTTATACTAGCTACGTATAAAACTGGAATAACGGTTCACGGGTTGGTAAGAACTATATTACTACTTACCAGTTTAGAGATTGTTAGTAATGCGGATTACCAGTCCCTTTGTTAGCAATATACTCTGCCAGGTTAAACTACACATGGTCTCTATGAAAACCTGTATATTTATCACGATGGGCTAACTTACCTGCCTTTTCATTCTCACCTATCATTCCTCACTGGTGCCTCGCCAATACCGTTAGCGCAAGCGAGGTTACCATTCCATTATCATCCATTAAAATAAACTCATACACAGATACATTATACGAGTATATCAGACCATCCTCTTTGTGTTTAGTACACAATACACATAAGAAGAATGAAGCAAAATCTGCTTTCACAATTTTATGTGAACTACTTTCTGCTTTTAGTTTACTTAAACTAATAAGTACCTATTTACCTACTTACTTAACAAAATTAGGCTTACTCAATTCACGCATAACTCATTCAGGTTCTAACTTTATAACTAAGTATACATTTTGTTTCAAGCGTATTCAATGAGATTGAGGTCAGAATATTATAAACATAAACGAAGCTATTGTCACGGAACACAGTCATTTATTTTTACTCCTGAGCACGACAATTCTTTTTTAATCATTGTGAATCCTTATTTTATGCCTTTTGAACCATCACCTTGTTTTTATACCTAGATCTTTTACATTCAAGTTTAAAACATCATTAACGGTGTAGTGGAATTTGCGTAGTGCCAGAATAAATAGAAAAAAATTTTAAAAATTATTTTTGATTTCTATTGCTCTTGTCACATTCACATCTATATATAAAAAATATACTGCTAAGATGTGCAGTCTTATAGTTTATTAGTATTGGTAGTAATATATGGTATAGTAGTTTTGCTATGAACAAATACAATTATTATGCCAATTCGTATTGAAGTACCTTCGATGAATATTTTTAATAATATTTTGTATATAAGCTAACACATCTACCTATTACTATTATTAGTCAATTTCCTTTCCAAGAATTAAGAAAAAAACTGTGTAACGCAATAAATACCTCGAATCGTATGAAATTTATGATAAAATCACCGTCTTTTCCTTACCTGTATCACTATACCTACCTACCTACCTACGTATTTCCTGAACTTTCTTACAAAAAATACTATTTGTACATTACGTCTACTAGAATATAATAAAGGGGTAAATAAAAAACACAAAATTAGATTAATGGGCGAGTATAATATTATAAAATACATTCAGCCTATAAGAAACATAATCCTATGGTTCTAAACCAATATTTACATTAAAAAAAAGGCGGGAGACATGGAACTCAGAAATGACGAGACGTGCTTTAAATCGGGAATCACTGTGACCATTTCATGATCCACGCTTATACTGAAGTGATACCCGCCCTACCAACGAAAGTGGTGAAACCATTTAACACCAACACATATTAAAAAGGCACGTACATAGATCCGACGCTATCTAGATCACAGGTTTAATTTATTTTTAAAAGGTGGCGTTCGCCTATTCCCGACCAGCCAAGTATAACGAACTCCAACTTTATAGAACACCATCAAATAGTCGTATCAACATACGTGCATCGTAAATGCTAAAGGCACGTCCACTCATTCCAACAGTGGTCCATGATGAGAGGCGTAATTACAAAAGCTACTACTTCAGTCATGAGTTACTCTGTAATAAATGAGCTTTGTTTCATGTAAATCTTTGCTTATCAATATCTAGTTTAGTAAAAAATTTGAATGAAAAAACATGGTATAGGACAGATAATTAACTATAATACAAATGCTAGTCTTATTTAGTTAATATCAATTTTCACTCAGTTTGTAAAAAAACCCTAGTCAAATTAGCTTTATACTGTATACAATCAAAATGAACTAGTTCCAGTACATTACTATAGAGACCAGAAAAATACTGGAAGGACGAGTGAAGCCAAGTAATTCTAAAAATATGAATTTAAGAGAACAAGACGCCAACCGAAGCCTTCTAATTAAATGAGGCCATTGTTATTTCACAGAGATTTGTACTTTTCTTCGATTTATGAAGAAACAGTAATAGCGTTTATACTTTAGCTTAACGAAATATGGCAACGTCGTATTTATTTTACTTTTCAAAAAGAATTGAACATTTTTCAATACTTCAGATTAATTATTTAAACAGCGCATATAAATCAAAATTTAAGTTTTCAGTGGCAACTTTATAAAAATATTACTGCATGATTAGTTTTAGAGTTCGCTTGTAAAATTGTTTTTATTAACAGATAGTTTTCACCATATCTGCCCTTCATACGCTTTCTGTTTTTACCTAATGGTTAGCTGATAGAGAATGCCATATGGCATTATGCTCGCCACTTGTACAAAGTTTTATTGTGCAATAAAAAATAAATAAATAAATAAAAGCGACGTAGCTACACTTCGCAAGCAAGTTGTGAACGCTCTTAAACTAATTCAAGAAACATTAAATTCATAATCATTTACATCGCAATTTGAACAGTTAAACAAGAAGAACTTTAAATCATGCTGGGTTCATTATAATATATATTTATATATATAAATTGTATTCTTATAAAAAACAAACAATTATATTGTAAACATGCATACTCAATACAGTACTTAACAAGCATAAAGTATAGCACCTATAATAACTAATTTGCATTGGCATTCATTTGACTACACAAATATTCATCCGGCCTTTAGAATAATCATGCGTCAAAAATTTATAATTTTATTTATTTTAATATATTCTACTACATATGATTTTAAAAAATCTATCGAGCTACATGTCAACAATGGGTTTGGAAGAAACTAAAAATTTTATAAAACTGTCTAGTAATTTTAATTTCAGCCAAGTCAATAAAAAAATACTGAAAGAGAATAGCTTCAATAAATGCACGTAGTTCTTTTTTAAAATATCTTTGTAAAAAAAAAAGAATGCGTGAACGTATTGGAATACTGTAAAACTCACCCAGTAGATGTAATAAATGAACTAAGTGAACCGAGATTGGTTTTAACCAACAAAGTTTAGTTGCTATTTCAATAAAATTCTTTACTATAAATAGATTAAATACTATCAAAAGATTTACATGGACAAAAGCTCATCTAAATCTAAACCATGGCTCAAATAATATAGTTTTTGTAAATTCGCCTACAGAAGGACCGCTTGGCGGCTCTCAATCATCGTACGGACGCTGGGGCTCAGGAAAACCGCGAGCCGACATAGGGTCCGGCGCGGGGGATGCGTGAGGTGCGGGGGAGGCGGCGGGGGAAGCCGCTGGCGATGCACTCCCCAAAGGCGATGGTAGCGTCGCGTATACCGTCGGCCGCGGCGGTTGATACGACGGCGCATAGGAATCACTTCTTGGATTGTAGAATGGGGAATCGTCAGCACAACAGTCCAAGTTAGGCGAGTAAGGCGTGGCTGCACCACAAGAGGGTGCATCGTCACTAGGACGGTACGCCGACGCCATTGGAGCGTACACAGTCCGCCGCGGGGACTCGGCCTCCTGCCGGTGGTGGGAGGATGGTGCATACGCATCTGACCACCGTGCCTTGCTGGGCGTGAAGTCTCCCTTAATGTACAGTTGTATAGGACGTCGGAAGCCCTTGCTGGCGTGCTGCGGCACACCCAGTATACAGCACTTGCTGAATCCTACTTCCGGTGACAGCAAGTACTCGCGGAACTTATTCGGGAACAATTCTATGGCATTGAAGTTTTCGTAAATTGTAGGCTGTAAAAGAATAAATTCCAATTTTAGTATATGTAGGAAGTGAAGACAAGAAATAAGTTATTATAAATTGTTATAAAGATCTTATCTATTAAATATTAGAAATATTTAATTTAAAAATATACCACAAACAATTTCGAGATTTTGCTGAACAATTTAATAATAAATGAATGAAAAATTTCTGAGGTCTGTTTAAGTTATTCTTTTCAGTCATTGCTTGTACTAATACTAAATTACATTTTTGGCACAGAATTGCACATCAAAACCAATTATGATTTGTTTTAGTATTGAGGTTCCTTCCTTTATCTTCTCATACAGCATCACTAAAAATAATGTAAAAAAGGAAACCTCATATGATATATATTCATAAGATAGTTACCACCACCGACAGGTGGGCCGTCAGCTTATTTGCCATACTATATTCCATGTAAAAATTAAATAGAGTAGAGGAACTGATTTCTAAAGTAATAAACTTAGAGCATATTACAAGTCATTTATATATAACACTTTTGGTTTTTAATGCTATTTGTGTACATACACAACTATACCACTTTCCATCAGGTGAATTCAAGTTCCATAAAAAAAAAGTTATAAAAAACGTAATATTACCGTTAAACGCTTTTTCTTCTTATAGCTAGCCCAATTCTGCGCTTCTAGCACGAGTTTTCCACCGGGGCGCAGATCGGCGAACATACGTCGGAAGGCGCGCTTGAGGCCAGCATCTCCCCAGTTAAGGTGCAACCACTTAGTAGTAGATAGGCACAATATCAAATCAAACTGCGGGCTCTCGCCAGAACCCACTGCTACATCTTCGCGTGGCACGTAGTTGCCCTGTAAAATTATATTTATATCTTAATTGCATCCTTTAATAAACGGAAGAAAGAACACAATCGAGCCATAAATAGTTATCTGTGAACTCAATATTATGTTACTTATTTACTTGTGTAAATAAATCTAATGGCTAGGATAATACCATATCAACTAAGTCAGAGAACACTTTTCAACCAAGAAAAAGAGCCAGAAACTTAATTACTACCTTCTTTTTTTGCTAAACATGTTTTTAATTTTGAATGGTATAGCAAATTAGACGTAAAATTATAACCATGAATCACAATAAAATATATAAATATGAATAGACGTCACAGTGTATACACTGATGCCCATGGCGCTGTTCATGTTTATAGGCGATAGTAACTATCAGATAGATTTGAAGTCTTGAAAAGATTTATTTTAGTAATAAGACTACCTTTCTGTACTTATACAATTGTATCACATTGTTTACATTTATTATTTTTATTTATTTATTTCAAGTAAACAATTACATAGACAGTACATATTCTTCGTGGCGGGAAACTGCTTTGCAGTTTGTCTGCAGCTCGGCGCTCTTGTACATACAGCTTTATAAATAATTATGAAGTTATATCCAGCTTCTATATACTAAATCTATATTTTTATATATAGACATACATACATACACACACATACGCATATATACAATTACATTGACTTGCTTATTCCTGATATTGTATAATGCTAATAAAGTATACTCATTCATTCATTCATAGATCGTCTTCGATTCCGATTTTCGTAACAAAGCTGAACATATAAGTAGATACATGGTAAAAAAAGTTTAAAACCTACCTGCTTGAATGTAACATTGTATGGGAAAGTGGGTGGTGACAGGTCCGCCGCTGGATCACCGAGAGGCCCGTACAACATCGACATTGACATAGGAAAGAAGCATTTCCCAGGTTCTTGTCTGTTTATAGCCTTCCGATTTTTCCTTGGCCTCCTGAATTTTCGTCCCATTTTCTTAGAATCTTCTCCTTTATCTTGCTCTTGTTTGCTATGATCTAGGTTGCAATCATCACATTTCTCTTCTTTACACTTATCACACTCTGATTTTTTGTCATCATCCATATCAATCTTCTTATCATCTTCCTTGACTGGTTCTAATGGAACTGGTATGAAAGACTGAAGATTTTTTCTTGCTCTGCCTGGAAAGTTAAATAGAAATATATATATAATATCTTACTACATGAAAAATATTTAAGAAGACATTTAAGAAAAACTAATACTCGTACGAGAGATTTTAATAAGACTAGCAATTGCTAATGTGTAATAATAATAATTAATGCGAGGCAGTTTTCACAGCTGTTTCTGAAGGTATAACTTAAAATCTAATGGATGTTTTATCTTTATACGCCATCTAGAAATGGTCTATTTTATTGGTTTTCCTTCTTAATAGCTTTCCTTTTTTTCTTTTATATATATAAAACTCATGTTTTACTACGAAAAAAAGTTGTGCACGACACACTTTTTTAGTTTCTTTTTTAATTTTATTAAAAAGATGGTTTGTTTATAATTTGAAATCTGTGTCAGTTCAGTTTTGTTTCGTTCGTTTTTTTGCTCCGTTGGTTTGCTTTGTATATTTTTTATATAATTATATTTTCTTTTCTAAAACACCGCGTTTCCATACCAGCATACAGTCCTTTCGCCCACAAAAGTATTATACAAAATTTATTAGAAATATACCTCCATCGGGAAGGGTGATTTACAATTAACGTTTTTTTACAATATTTTAGCTATTTATCAGCGTTTACGAGCGAATATAATACAGCGTGCCCACACAAAAAATGCGCCGCGCGCAGGTGGTGACTCACTCTCGATGGATGTACCCATAATTATAAAATTGCAATTATTAAGAAATACCTTCATATGCTTTATTAAAACACAACTAAATGAGGTTTATATAATGTTTTGTGTTTTTATGAATAATAGAGTTAGTCCTATATCTAAAGATATAATATTTGTTTTAAGGTTCATCCTTATAAAATTTTAAGAAACAAATACAATTTCAGAACTATGTGCAATAACTAGTAATTTTATTTTCATAAATTTATGTAATATATTGAAATAATTACGATAGCATACATGCATTCTATAGTAATCAAATAAAAATGAAAAATTATTGCATTTACTTAAGAAATAATTATTCAACATTTAAATTGCTTTAAATACATATTTAACTACTACCGATTGAGATCTCTCATACTTCTAAACCCACAAGTTCTGTTTGTTCTGTTCATTTATTTAAGATTATTTTCCAGCAGTGGCTGTCCCCTAGAAAGGGTTCATAAGTTCTCTCAAACATATCCTTGAAAAGCTTTGCTTGTACCCTGAGGTGGGCACTAAACGATTCTGGTGTGAGCACAGCTCACCCAAGCCATAAATACGCCTATAGTTTCCTTTTTTTTTAATTAGTGTTAATTTTTTTATTAATTTCAACTTACCAATGAGCACAGGGTCTATATCTATACCAATGACAGATCGAGCGCCAAGTGTGCGTGCTACAGCAGTAGAGATATGACCAACATTACACCCAATGTCCAGTACATCTTTGTTTTGAAATAAATGCTTATGCATCTCAAACACCTGCAGGCGGACATCCATCATGGCATTTAAATTTCGGTAGCCGTAATACCTGAAATGATATATACAATTTCATTAATAATCATATGTATTTCATAAATATTATAAAAATATGTGAAACTGAGTTTGTTACTTCTTAACACTTTAACAGGTTACTATATAACATGTGACACTAGTGTTATAGACATCAACAAGCTACAGTGACTGTTTACCATCAGATAGGCTGTTTACCACCTTTGTGGTATAAAAAATTATATAGGAAGGAGAAAAACATAGTTTACTACTTTTCATTCCAGTCAGTGAAGATAACTCACTCACGAGGTTGAAATTGCAAGGTAAAAATGGTAATAAATAAATAATTACCCTGAACATTCCACATCAAATAGCCTAATCCCAAACAAACAAAAAATGGTTACTAGAAAACCAACACATACCTAAAAAATATATTTAATATTTTTTAAATGCATCCCTACTAGTATTATTATATAAATGTAAAAGTGAGTTTTTTTGTTTGTTTGTTACCCTCACAGGACCCTAATAGCTTTACAAATCACTATGAAATTTGATTTACACATAATATATAGTATGGAAAAGAATATAGGCTTATTTTTATCCCAGTCAGTAAACATATCCTAGTCACATGGACAAACTCATGGATAAAATCTAGTAATAATATATGTAACAGTAGAAACATATTTATAAATATTTTTTAAATACATATAAAAAGCACAAACTAATACAAGTGTGCTGTGCAGGAATCAAACTAATAATCATCCAATAGTAAATCATTATACATATACCAGATCACTTGCAGTGTAGACTAAGAGAATAGACTATGTCTCCTCTAACACTTACACAAATTTCTTACATTATCTACTTTCATAACTGTTTCAAGCATACAAGCTAATTGCCACATATTGCGATCATAATAATAATATTTATAATGTGCATAATAATTGTAAACAGTTTAATGGTCTGAATTACTAAATACAAATGATTAAACTAGTTATTTAAACAGACACAGGAAAACTCCAATTGGCTTTGCTATAATAAAAAAATACTTAATTTGATTACTTTGCTATACCAAACTACCAGAGTAGCATATAGTAGTTTTGATCTTTTTTTTATGTAACTTAGAATGGCATGCAAGCTGAGGAAAGTGCTAACTGTCACCTATAAACATGAACAGTACCATAGACATAACAGAGTATACTGTTTTGCCCATGATACCACAATGTGTTGAGAAAAATCTATATGACAGTTAATCTACATGTATTTCAATAAATAACAGAAAGCAATAAATATATTTACCTATCATAATTTCCATACTGATAGCGTGAATTTTTTGGATGAAATGTGGGCAACTTCCTTTCTCCTTCTGATATGCTTTTTAATTTAGTACGATGTGGAGATACTGGTCTTTCAGGAGGAACTGCACGTGGCTGGGGTCTTGCTCTCATCCATGCACCAGGCTGAGGTACCACTGGACTCACAATTTTATCTAATGAATCCATACGGCGCAACTTCTTACTATCCTTGACTTTCTGTGATGAATTATCACTATCACTACATGACCTTTTCCGTGATTTTGATGTTGATGCCTCAGGAGGAAGAGGTTCCTTAATACCTTCAACTTTTTCTACAGGTGCCTCTTTAGAAGGAGACACATGGTCAGTTGTACGTCTCCTAATCCTAGCTTTTTTGCGCGGTTTCCGCTGTTGCATTTCTAACCGCTTTTCATATTCCTCATTATCCACCGGCTCCATTAAATTAAGAGGGTCTCGAATATTAGGAGGAATAATGACATCAATTTTAGCTTTGTGCCTAGGAGGTGTAGGTAGTGGGGATGACTCTGGAGTCACAGCATTCATGGCTCGATTGATATCTTCATCTTGTAAGCTATTTAGATTCAATGGATCTGAGATATTCCCTCCAAGAAGAAATTTTGTTGGTGGTATAAAAGCATCCTTACGTGGCCTTTTATGAGGCAGAAAAAATTTTGAAATACTCGGAAAAGTTTGGGCTCTTTTTCTGGCTTGTTTAAATTTAGTGGCTGTGTAATGGACCCTGCGCACAGTACTTCGATCAGCATTATCCTTAGGTGGCACATGACTCTTCTTTCCATGTCGTGATTTCTTTTTCACCTTTTTTGTACTACCAGCACCACTGCCATCTTCCTTGGAAATATTAGCATCCTGACAAGCTGATATATTCAATGAGGAAGCTGACGAATCGGCCACCTCATTCTCAGAAATTTCACCACCTGTTTCATTTTCTACCGTCTCTACTTCACTTTTATTGTCACAAGCTAACTGACTTTCTTCCGGACTACCCATTGCGTAAGATTAAATTAAAGAATATCTACATTATAAACTACAAGATTTCAAATATCGAATTTACCGCCACTTCGTCTATTGCAAAATGTGCAAGGACATCCGTCAATGGTGGTAAACAGGTTATTAATTCTGTTTATTTATGTTATCAATGGAGTAAAATAGAATATATAATTGTCAGTATTATCAAATACAAAACGTTTACTGAGAAGAAACACTTTTTAACTTCAATGTAATGCAAAAACGATAAAATTCACATAAATTTCTAGTCGCAAGATCACACAAAGTACAATGAGACGGCTATGAAAACGGCCATCTATAATATTTTTTTTAGATCACACTAGACGTAGGACATAACACTTAGATTTGATTGGAACCACAGATCAACAGAGATACTTAGCAAAAGACAGAGTAAATAAGATGTTAAATGCGAGTACATAATCGAATATCACAATCGAAATTAACATCGATATTTTATTTTCTTGATAAATATTTTAAAATTAATTAACTAATCAATCTAAATGATCTTGTGGTTCTGGCAGAAAATAGGCCACCCCTATACTTATAATTAATCTCCAACCATTTAATTAAATTTAATTATATTCTAATAATAATATTTTTTATCTATCTCAAATTTCTAATTTTTTTAAATAAATCCTTCCTTGTTCCAGGCTTCTGTTTGACAATTTAATAGTCGTTGTCAAAGTGTTTTCACTTAATTGTTGTTACAAAAAATAGAAACACTCACCTGTGGTCTCTGGGTCCATGGCTTTTTTTTATTTAATTAAACTTTAATTTTTAACTAAGGACAACGAATTACATAAAAGAAATGATAAAATAAAAACTAAATGATATGGTTGCTTCCTTTCTTTTTATGCAAATATAATTAGTAGAAAGAGGACAAAAGATACACCATCAGTTATTATTTTTCTCAATTCATAGCAGGGTAGTGTATAGAAAATGTTGGATATGTCAATAACAAATTTTAAATTACTAGATTATATATTCGACACAGTTTATGTAGCAAGCAAGCAGATTTTATCTGAATTTGGTAGGGTTATACAGCCGTATAACAATTTTATACATTAACTTGCTATGAACTGAAAAAAATACCAAGTGGTGGTATATCTTTCGTCCTCTTTTTACTAATTATATTTGGGTAAGAACAAAGGAGCGACCATATGATTTCCAGTTTTTATTTTATGATTCCATGTATGTAATTCCTTGTTCTTAAGTTTTAACCTAAGCTACAGAGGAATTAACTAAGCTTCCACCACTAAGAACATTAATTTCCAAAATTTTAGTCTGTGGCTTCCATATTTAGAAATAGATAATAGATATTATATTTAATCTATATTTCCATATAATAATTTTTAGAGCAAAGTATTATAATCTACATCCGTAAAAAATTGCTTTAAAAAGTAATAACGTAGAGCGTCCTGTCAAATTTGAATTTTGAATTATAAAATGTCCGTTTGTTTCGATTCATTTCACTAACTTTTTTGTCGTTTGTGTATTAATTTCTAAATAATTAATTATTAGTATTCTATATATTATATTATTAAACAGTCTTAGTGTTTTTTAAGTGAAATTTTGTTTATGTGAAATTGTATTAATATTGGTAATTATTGATAGCATATCTTATGGCAGATTTTTCCAATTTATTACAATATTTTGAATAGAGTGAAACTCATTGAAATTATCCAATAAAGTATCCATTTGTCAGCTTACATCAAATCTGCGGAATTCATTATTTAAAGTATTAATACCATTCGTAAAAAGTGCATTTAATAGCTATAATTTTAAATAAAAAACTTGAAATCCAACCGAGAAAAAAAATACAACGGTTAAATTTACTAGTAACGCCCTTTCGTAAGTATAGGCTTCTTGTCTCTCGTAATGATTTCGATTTACATTATATTTTTCATCAATTTAAGCGTATAACTATTGTAACATTGAAAAGATTTATGGAAGAACTTCTATAAATTGTTATGATCTGAAGTTTCAGTAGATCTTAAATGAAAAAGTATTATGGAAACTTGGTCAGTAATTACCCTTAGGGACTATAAAACCTAAGGTCTAATATTAAAAAATTGATCTAAAACAATAATATTATTAATCAAACTTAGCCAAAAGTGCTGATATAAGAGATTTAAAATTTTATAGTGATCTTACCACAGTCACTTGTGTGTTCGTTCAGTTAATGCTGTAATTCGTCCCCAAAAATTAAAGATTTCAATTTATATTAAAAATAATGTGCCTCTATAATAGTGCCTCTCAGAAGAAATCTCATATTTTATATTGTGTATTTTAACCCAAATTTTTTTAATTTTCTGTACAATTATTCATACTTTTTCTTTTGTACATATCTTGTCCTGACAATTACAAACACATGTATAGTTGTTCTGAAATGATGCACTTATATTCAGTAAATGATTTTTATTTAAAGTAATGCAAATCAAAATTATTGTTTTTGTTCCTACAGTAGTTTCCTAAAAGTGAATTTGCAGATTTGTACTTGTAAGCTAATATATTCTTACTTTAGTTCTTTGTTAACCATAATTTTTTTTTTCTATATTACAGAAACTTTATGCTGTACTGTGTGTACATCTACAGCTGGAGAATATAAACAAACACCACAAGGTCTGTAAATTTAAATTTTTCATATACTTTTAACATAATAATGATAAATGTTTTTATAATTGTTGTGGCTGAAAGAAATAAAATTACACAATTTAACTTCATTTAGACACATAAGAGTGAATAAGAAAAAAAATCTATGATTATCTTTGTTAATGTTTATAATATCAGTAAATGTCACTAATTATATTCTGAAAGTTCTCAAGATGTTCATATATTCTGTTTTCAGATGTCCAGAATACCAAAACTTCCAACATCCACTGCTAAAGAGAATAAGCCTGGTTTAATTAACAGTCGCCCACTAACTAGAACAATTGCTAATGGCTTGAGTGATGCAGATAAAAAAGCCTTGATCCTGAATCACACTAAACCGATCCGCAATGGACCAGTTATATCAACATCTGGCTCACGTCTCAGAAAAGCAGCAACTGAACCACCACCAACTACAGTGCCTTCAAAGATATTAAAAATTGAGAAGAAACCATCTACTGTTGCTCGTAAAATACCACCATATGACTACAAAGCAAGATATAATGAGTTATTAGAAAAATTTAAAACAATTAAAAGTGAACATACAGACTTAAAAGGTAAACATGAGGAGGTATCTGATGAGTATGAAAAAGTTAAGGAAACAGCACAGAGTTGCTCTAATGAAAGAGACATATTTAAGGAAAAGTTATTGAATACTCTTAATGATTTAAGAGAAAAAACAGCTGAATTTGAAAGGATGAAAATAGATTTTGATATTCAGAAACATGAAAATGAAGATTTACACCGTAAGACTCGACTGTTAGAAGAAGTTACAAATGGCTTAAAGAAAAAAACGACAGAGTTAGAGATTCTACAGGCAGAATTTAATGATGTGACCAGGCGACATCAAAGTCTTAAAGAAGAAGCAGAAGCATTACAGGTTCTCTCTGAGCATCTGAAAAAAGTATCTGTTGAATATGATAAATTACAACTTGACTTTAAAGAAGCTCAACAAGCAATTATGAAATATAAATCAGATGCAGAAAGCTTACAGAATATTTTGGCTACAATGTATAAAGAACAAAGAGATTTGAGGAATACTATACAAGACTTGAAAGGAAATATTCGAGTTTATTGCAGAGTTAGACCACCTTTAGAATCAGAATCTACAAAACCATTGTTTAATCTTAATGTTCTTGATGCATGCTCCATAGAAGTTGAAAAAGTTGAATTGAATTTTAGTTCAGCAAGAAAAGGAAAATCACAGCATGCTTTTACATTTGATGGAATATTCACACCTCATGCAACTCAAGAAGATGTTTTTGCTGAGGTTTCATCAATGGTTCAGTCTGCATTAGATGGCTATAATGTCTGTATTTTTGCTTATGGTCAGACCGGATCTGGCAAAACTTACACTATGGAAGGTGGATGTGGTACAGAGCAATATGGCATAATCCCACGAGCATTTAATATGATTTTCACATGTATGGAAGATTTAAAAAAGATGGGATGGGAATTGCAAATTAAGGCATCCTTTTTGGAAATATATAATGAAATAATTTACGATTTATTGAATTCAAGCAAGGACCAAGAAAGCCATGACATTAAAATGGTAAATTCTAAAGGTATTGACGTGTATGTCTCAAACTTGAAAGAAGAAGAAGTTAAGAGCTCACATGATTTTATCAGACTGATGATATTTGCTCAACGTAACAGACAAACTGCAGCTACACTTAACAATGAAAGAAGTTCTCGATCACATTCAGTTGCACAAATTAAGATCTCTGCCATCAATGAGAAGCGCAAAGAAAAGTTTACCAGTCAATTAAATTTAGTCGATCTGGCAGGATCTGAAAGTGGAAAAACCTCACAGAGAATGGATGAAACTAAACATATTAACAGGTCCCTGTCAGAGTTATCTAAGGTTATATTATCTTTGCAGACAAATCAATCTCATATACCATACAGAAACTCAAAACTTACCCATTTATTGATGCCTAGTCTTGGAGGAAATTCCAAAACTCTCATGTTGGTCAATATCAATCAATTTGATGAATGCTTTAATGAAACTCTAAACTCCTTACGCTTTGCTACTAAGGTAAATAGTTGCCGAACAATAAAAGCAAAGAAAAATTTGACAATGGTTGACTCATTATAATTAATTTGTTGGATTTTAATTTTAAATGACATTGCTATAAAACTATAATGTGTGATTTTATCATTTAAAATCACACTTGTATTATCTTATTGATCAATATCTAACTTTCAATAGATTTATGTACTTTCATATATTTTATTATGTTCCATTAGAAATACACCAAGGAAGTGTAAAATGAAACTTAAAAACAATCTACTGACAGAGCGAATAGATGTTAGGGTTATTTAGTTATAAATAAATTTTAACTTTCTATTAAATTAGAATTATTTTATAACGACCAATGTATCCTTAGTTTTTGATATGATTTTGTGTGTAATTATTGTTTAGTATATGTTAATATAATTATGTAAGTACTTATAAATGTTTTATTTTCAGTTGTCTGTTACAACTTATTTTCAAGCGTAACTTTAAAATGTGTCCTGAATATTTTTTTTTAAATACTAGTTATATTTTACAGATATTTTAAATAGATATTGGAATATTTAGCTTAATAGAGGGTTTGTTAATAACTGGGACTATAAGGGCTCCATAAATAAATTCTGATTCGACTCTATCCTTATATGTGTAAGGTATACCTTTTTTCTCATGCTATAATAAACTAATGAATGAATGAAATGAATCTTCACAACAACAGGATTGATTAATGAGAATTTTTTTTTTTTTTTTTTGTTTACAGAGTATATAGCAAAATGTAAATTTTATTACTGTTATTGTATTTTTTTTTGTGAGATTTTTTCAATGGATGATAATGGAATGGTAACCTGCCTGCGCTACCAGTGTACGCTGGCGGGGCCCTAGTGAGGGTTGATAAGTGACGATGAAAACAGGTCGGTTAGCCCATCGTAACGAATTCACTAGAATTAATCACGATGGTTTCCAGGGGGAACCGCGTGGATCTCGACCTGATAATACACCTGTATTGCTAGCAATAGGTCAGTTAGACCCCCATTACTAACAATCCCATTCCCCCCTCTATCTGAGATTTATGACATAAAATTTACAAAAGTTCATAAAAATCCTAATATTATAAATATGTAAGTGATTTTATTTGTTATCTTGTAACGTCTTTATGCCTTAATTAATCATTATGGAATATACACGTAGGATTGAGAAGGAAACTATAAACTTGCTACATATCTCACTTATTCTGAGAGAATGCCTATTAGTAAGTTGCTTCATCAATAGATGGTGTTATTATTTTAGACCAATAGTTATTTATTCAACGTTTACGCTAATTAATAAAATTACCAGCAGATGTCGTTAGTTTACACAATACTATATTATAATGTACACAATTCATCTTTACTTGCTTATTCAAGTAAAGATGAACTGTGTAATCTTACCCAGGGCAAATTTCTTACTGAAACCTTTCCCAACTATAAAAAGAAAATATTACTGGGGTCAATGGTGTAACAATAACAAAATTTATAGGGCCAAATTCAGATGAGCGTGAGCATGGGAAGAATCTATTATTTACTGCATATTTAAAAAAAAATATATATTAATCAATTCAAGAGTTATTAAAGTATTAACACATAAACATACACGAATTATATAAATAAATTAACAAGTCATTTTCAAATAATACCAGAAATAGACACGTTAATTGTGATAGTGTTGATAAGTACGAATATTTTCTTAGTGATACATAAAAATGAAACTACAATATCAAACTTTTTTATGTAAAAGGAGGGCCCCATCCCAAAGAATTTACTACGAACTACAAATGGTAAAGTTACGCCACTGACAGGTCTACTATACTCCAAATTATCTACATAGAATTTGATACGATCCTTTACTGGAGCGTAGTTCCTATATCACCCATTTTTTATAAATTGATTATGATGAACCCAGTAATTTGCTTTTATTCTCCAATAACCCTGAATGATGCACCGCTATTGTTTATCGATAGACATAAGGAGTTACCTATCGATCATCGATCCTCATAATTTTATCTTCTACTGACGCCCTGTCATTGACCGGTGTATTGCTAGCAATGGATCGATTAGACCCCATTACTAACAATCCCTTTTTCCTCCTCATAATGGGCGTTAGCCCTTATCTAGTTAGGTCAGTTATGACCAGCGTTTTCATCCTCACTTAAAACTATCCTTCACTAGTATCTCGCCAGCATATATCGTTAAGGCAGACGAGGTTATGATTTTAATACCATCCATTTAAAAAAAATGTTTTAAATGCCTAAGTATTGTGTAACTATAACATGTGCCTAGTACTTTCCCAAGTAAAAATAATTATTTTGTTATTATTACAAAGGTTTCTGCTCTTTAGTAATTTGGCATGAAGGATGCTAATAATAATTAACAAAATATAAGGCTTTTCATTCTTTTCAAAGGATTTTTTTATATCTGCATGAAGAGTGTGTTTAATGATAATACCTAGTAGATTTTTACTTGTTATATTTATTCAATAATGTTATGATAGTTATTGTATAAACATCATAATATTATTATCATGGGGTATCATGGGCGAAACAGTATAATCTGTTATGACCATGATACTCATGTCTATAGATGACGGTTACCTCCATCAGGTAGACCGTCAGCTTGTTTACGATTCTAAGTTGCCTAAAAAAATATTTACATATAATAAGACTTATTTATTTTTACAGAATTTAGTCCTTTGTTTATTTAAATTGTGTATTAGATATTCTTTTTGTATTATAATTTGCTTTATAACTATCTATTTATAGTATTTGGTAATCGTAAAAAGGTATAATTAGGTAATATAAATAAATACGCCCATATAAAAATAAGATATTTTATAATTAAGGACTAGATCAAAATTAAAAGCGAACCATCGCATTTCTCTTCCATATAAACATCACAAATATGCAATTTTTGAGTACATCTCCGTGCGTCGATCTGGGAGCGCAAAGGGGCAGTACTAAGGCACAAGGGCCAAGCGAACGGTGACAATGACCTCAGGGCGAGTCCAGGGTCCTCTCGCCTAGTGCTCAACGTGATACGTCTGGTTCTTTTGAAGCTTCATCACTCTGTGGTAACTTCGCAGTCTCTATTGTATTTATCAATCTATCTAAACCAAAGAGGAAGCCTTCCTCGTGATTTCCTTGTTTCCAAGGTGAACGGTGGTCCACCTGAGTTCCTTCCGGTACACGTCTTGTCTTAGCAAAGTCGATAAGCCAAGCTCCAACTCGTTCATCATCATAGATGATGAAAATGCTACTTCCAACGATTTCATGAGTTTTAAAGTATTCAGACTGTTCAAATAGTTCTCTTATTTCACGAAGTCGTGTGGCGATGGCCTTACGTGCGTGTTCATCGTTTCCTAAAAATCTTGCCACTGTTGCTGTCAGTTGTTGAGGCTCACGCACTTTCTGAAGATCAGTAAGAGGCGGCTGACCGGGAAGCTTTACGGCTTCAATGCGGAAACCTTGTTGAGCAGACGACGAGCGTTGTTCACGGAACTGCATATATCGCAATTTAGTTACAGCACGTGATACGTGCTCAGCTTCGGTGGGAGCATTGGGATCCAAACGAACCATCTTCTCGTAAAGATCAGTACGTGCACGAGCGTTGCTTACTTCATCTTCGAGAAAGGTGCGCGTACCCATTTTAATGTCCATAACATGAGGATCACGGAATCCGTGCAATAAATCTTGGAGTTCGATGAACCGTTCCCCCGAATACTCGAGTTCACGGTAATATCGTGGTATAGCTGATCGCATGTGAGGACATGCCGCAAGGGCTTCATAAGCGTCACGTTCAGGATTATGGGCGGGATGATCCCCAGCCGCGCGCCGCTTCCATACGGTCCCCGGGCCTGCAGGTGCGAGGGATCCGGGATGACCAGACAACTGGAACCATTCAGACGAGCGGGACTTTAACAGAGCGTCTGAAGCAGGAGCTGATAACTCCAGTGCATTCTGAAACAAAAAAAAATGTCGCTAAAGAAACAATGTCAAATATAAGACTGTGGCTAAGACACAACAAAAAAAAAACTAATATAGAATAATTTTCGTCACTAATAGACTAGGAAAGTTGTTTAGAATGTATATTAAAGTTGAGGAAATAATAAATAAATTATATTATATTGAATGATATTGAAATTTGTACTTGATTTGTATAGATTTAATTTTTTAAGTCCTTTGTGGACATTAAAGTTACCAAGAAGAGGATAATAAAAATAATCAACTTACAATAGCTAGGAACTTGAGTAACTCCGAGGGTTGTGCTGTCGCTGGTGCTGAGGGTGCGGCGGCAGGTACGGGAGCGGGCTCCGCAGATGCAGGGGCGCGTCTCCAACGTTTAAACAAAAGCACACCCTCATCCTTGCCACGCCAGCGTTCTTCTTCTTTGGTTGGCACAGCGACCTGAGGACAACGAAAATATCACGTTTAAACACCACATTTCAACACAATGAATCACTGGACAAAATTGTCACTTGTTTTCAAACTCTGTGCACAATATGATAACGTACCGCTAATATTTTATTGGCAGAATAGAGTAGCCCGCCAGGGCCAAGGCGGCTCACCACGGACTGGCGGGAAACACTGTTCATCTTGCTGGTGACGGTCATAGCGTACGAGTGCGTGCGACGAATACGCGAACACTAATGAGCGATAACGATATAGAACGCGGGAAACGAGCAACGATCGTGTGTATGCGACTGATGCTAGCCTGCGAATGGTGCTAGTGGGAGGGTCACGCACTCTTATATAGAGACCTCGGCTTTCTCGTGACGTAGCGGCGGCATGACGCCGCCCGCACTGCCTCATGAGTTTCCCTTGCGCTTCTATTTTTCACAAAATACATTGATAGCTTTGACACTACAAAAGTAGCTCGTTGTCTTCATTAAGCATTAGGTGTCACCAGCAAGATAACGATTTACTACGTTACATTTTACTGCACTATTTATTGTACATAATCTCGTGTTTTAAATTTAGAAAACTATTATTATATTTCGTAAAATCGTACAGTGTTTACTAATCAATAAAGTAGATTATATAAATATGGGTTTGTATTAATATATTAACTGCATAATTATACCTCCCGTTATAAAAGTTTAACCTTAAAAGATTATTTTTGTGATTTTTTTATATAAATACTTGAAAATAAGTAATTGTTTAACTAAGTACTGAATTTTGTATTTATGATAATTTTATTTAAAGAAAATAGTAATGGGAGTAATACTAGGTAAAGTTTAAAAAATAATAAATTTGAATATATATATTTACATCTATCTATCTATCTGGGTTTATTTTTTAGTAGATGATCATGAAATGGTAACCCCGCCTGCGCTAACGGGACACCAGTGAGGGATGAGAGATAAGAATGACAAGGCAGGTCATGATGAATATATCTGGAATTAAACACGATGATTTCCAGAAGTTGGTTACAGGAAGATAAAATTGACATTGCTAGCAATGGAACTGTTAGTCCTATTAGTCATTACTAACAACTCCTTCTCCCTCTGTTTATCTAGATTAAGTACGGTTACTTTATTGATCACTGGTGGCAAGTGTTCACGATTAAAAATTTTCTTAAACCCCTTTTCTATGTAAATAATATTTCTATATAATAATCACGAATTGAAATTGATTGATTTATTGCTCTATATCTTCTTACATTTACTTTGCACATATAAATATAATAAGCATTTCTATTTATAACATTACTATTTACACATCGCTACTTCTAAATCTAGTTGAAATATGAATTCTAAACAAACGTTTAAAGCTTAAATTTGAAAATAAATGTAACGCATTTGAGTGTCTAGAACAAGTGTCCTTTGTGCGTGACGCACAGGAATGTAGTATGTATGACAATGTAGTCCAACGTGACGTTACAGTATTGTTCCAGACTATAATATTGATGACGAATATGTTGTATTCAATTAAAACAAAAACTTATTCATTCCAAAAAATGAGTAATGTAGTTAATTTTAAAATTTTTAGTGTATGTAAAAAAACGGATAATATACTCGTGGCATACAATTAATAAAATCATATTTTCTACTATATTCTATACTATATATATATATATATATATATATATATATATATATATATATATATATATATATATATATATATATATATATATATATATATATATATATATATATATATATATATATATACTATATTCAATTTAAAAGTACAAAATTACTTATATATAGATTAAAAACTACAAAAATGAAACCTTAAGATTTTTCTTCTCATCTTTACAGAATAGTTTGTGCCTGTAATTAATTTAAAATATCGAAACAATTAGAAATATTTATTATAAAATATACTCCAACCTGTATCTGTAAAAGTTTATACAGTCACTTTGACATATAAATATATATTTAGTGTAACAACTTTGATCTCAATATCACTCCTATGAAACTTCTACACAAGTAGATCACACACAAATGTCAATAATGTCGATCTCGGGTCCGAAGTTCGATCGTAAAAAAAGGAATGCAGGAAGCTTTCATTTTTTACTAAAACAGTCATGGACTTACAATATTTTTAATGCATTACAAATTATTTGGGAATTGATCGTAAAAGTCTAAGTAGGCAAGTAAATCGGTACAACACAGTATTTTATATTTACTAGTACGTATTTTCTAACAATTTATTCAGCTACTTCTATAGAACGCTATTTACCATATATCAGAACGCCTTTTTATTGTTTTTCAGTCCTATGGATAAGTTAGTGAAATCTTACTAATATATTAAAATTGTAAGTAGACGATATCTGTACGTGAGAGATATTTAAGAAAAAATATATGAGACTTAAAACAGATAAGACCAGACCTTAATAAGACCAATAGATGCAAATTAATATTTCTTGAAATTTTGTCTGTATGTTTGTTCCGGCATCATGCAAAAATTATTACAACAAATTGGATGTGGTTTTGCAGTTGAGTTTCTAGCGGTCTAACTTATTATCTAATCTTTTTCATCTTGATACGCCATCTAGTGGTCTATTTAATTGATTTTCTTATTTCTGAAATCCACATGTACGAAGTAGCAAGCAAAAAACTAGTCTAATAAAATAAAACCTTATTAGACACTCTTGTAGACTCTTGTAGAGTATATGATATGGGCGGTATAAATGTTATGGGGATGTTAACTTTCAAAAGGAATTTAATTATATTTATTATATTGTCATGCTACAAGAGAAAGACTTTGTATAAAAGTCGTCTGCTTGGGTACTTCTGTCCCATTGGTGTTTCTGCCATAAAGCAGTCATTTATGTGGCTGTTTCAGTTTGAGGAGTAAAATATCGCAATGGAATTACAGTGTGCAAAGGCATAACATCTTAGTCTTTAGGAATGGCAACGCATGATGAGGTTTTATGGGCGACACAGTATACTCTGTTTTGTCCATCGTACTGCTCATATCTATCGGCAACACTTAGATTTTTGATCAGGTGAGCCGTCAGCTTGTTTGCCATTTCAAGTTGCATAAAAAAATCTGCATAAATTCTCAATTTTTATAATTATTTTTGCAGTTGTAAAGTTTAATTCCTTATATCCCATATTTTTTATTTTATATTCATCAAATCCACCCTCGAAGATTAAGACAAATAATCGCCATATGTAGACATAAACAGTATCATAAACATTATATATGATACTTACATCTTTTGTAAATAATAACTAAAAGTTCATCGATTTCATTTTGTTACGACTGAAATCACTATTTTATAAAATTTACACAAAAAGATATTCATTTTACTCAAGACATTGTAGGGATAAATGGTTGATTTTATTATTATATTTATTTAATTTGTCCAATATATGAAGTATCAGCTACTTACCTATCTATTACCATAGATAAATTAATTTCTAGGTTATTACGTAGAATTTTAACTCTACGGAAATTAAATACACAATTCATTCACGGTAAGAAGAATGTTAATCACAAGTAATTATGACAAGTACCTATAACATTAATATTTATGTAGAACTAATTCAATTTAAGCACATAATTAATAAACAATTAAATGGGTTTAATTACAAGGCTGTGCTATTCACGTAACAGTCGATAATTTCCAGTTTTCATCGAATGATTATCATTAGATTATTAAACAATTCATTAATTGCTAAAAAGTAACAATCAATGCAAACAATAAACTTACTTTCATTTTTATATGAATATAATTTAGATAATTACAATGATGCCGAAAAAGTGGCGATTTAAAGTGCCAGTAGTAACAAATGTAGTGAAAATATATTAACAGCTTCTTTTCGCGTGTTTCAGATTCATATAGTCATAATCAGTTATAATATTAGGTATAATAAAAAAATTTTAATATTTAAAGTATTTTTAATAGGTTGCTTGGTATATAATATATATAAATACGTAAAATTTAAAATAGATTAATTAGGTATGTAAATACAGATTTAACATTGCATTTAAAAGCGGGAAAAAATGGTGTAGAGGACATTTAAAAATAAAACACTATATTGTCTAATTTTAGTTGGCACCATACAAAATGTAAGTTTCTTGAACTTGCCAAAATAAAGATTTCTTGTTTTTAGTCCAAAATAAAAAAAAACCAGGAGCTCAGACTCACGTCACTTTGAATAAAAAAAAGTTTGCTACATGCACCTAAGCAACAAGTTCATTAAATATGAAACTTTTACATTACCTAGTAGCTAGTTCTCTTATGATTCCTAAGGGTAACAATATTTTTATAAATGACTTTTTATGTTAAAGTCAAACAATACTATAAATATTCATTTCATTTATTGTGTTAATAAGTATACGTGGCATAGATTTATTTTCCAGTTTCGTCAATATAAAATCAGTATCGACTCTAATACTCGTAATAACTTGCTCAGTTGAAGTACTAAGAGAGGCAGGTAGTATCCTAAATCTCAAGGGATAGATAGCGCTGATGCCTTGTATAGTCATGTTAAAGGCTACATATTAGAATTAGTATTTGCTATAATTGATATTTAAACTACCACTTAATTTATTTTTGTGTAAAGGCCTCATCCTATTAACTTACATAAAGTTAAAAACTCCTAAATAATAAATTAGATTGATACGTATATACAATAACATAACGAGGAAATTGTGAAAACGTCAGTAGATAAATATTTCTAACCAAATAAGACTGTTTCAATTTATCCGGATTTTATTATATTAAAAATAAAAAAAAAATTGTTAACCAGTCTCGCCAGTGCGCACGTATATATTTGTTATCCTTCGTACGTTCGACGTTTGACAAATGATGTTTATTATAACCTCTATGCAGTCGCTCAGGCCTGGTCACGGTCGCCTTATAAAGTTACAGGAGTGCAGTGAATTGCAGTTAGCTATTATGCATAGACGGCGCGTGGCTTTAATGCATGTCTCGAGGCCACCGG